GAAGGAGGGTAGATTGAATGGGTGTAATTAAAGTGATGAATGCCATGGGTTTGGGGGAAACGGATTTAAACAGTTTAAACACTTTCATTTTCCTTCAGATGAATTAAAATCAAATTATAGTAAAATCCGTGGTTTTAGAAGTGTCATGGTCGGAAGGGTTGGGAAGGGGTTATAAAACTGTGCCATTAGTCTTTTCAACTATACCTTCCATTTTGTACAATAAATTTTTTTCTTTCAATGAAAAAAATTAATTCGAAAAGAAAATATAATTCAAACTTAACTAGATATATCTTCTCTATTTCTTGATCAAGAAAATGTTTAATTATTAAGGGTCGTGGAATCTACTTATAATTTATAAATTAACCCTTCTCCAACCATGTTTATAGACAAAGCATGGACCGGAAACTTAAATTAGAGTTGTCATTGTGCACAAAGAGATCCAGACAGCTCTGAAATGTATGCATCAATTTTCAAGACAGGACTTTGAAGTGTTGAAATTAGAGATGATCACAGTTTTTGTGAACGAAACAAAATTTTTGAAAACGAAATAAATTTTTGTATTAATAAATTAATGGTGTCGTTTAGAAAAAACGAAGGATGGGGGAACGATCGTTTAAAGTGATAAAATAAATCGATCTAACGAACTTGAAAAAACGATCTTCTTATACTGAACGAACGATTTTTTGGAACAAAGTTTTTAAAAAAATATTTTTTACTGATCAAACGATTTTTTCCGACAAATTTTTGATAAAACGATCGCTTGTTTACTGAAAAAACGATTTTACTGAACGATCGTTCATTAAGAGAATGAACGAAATTGATGAAAAATGACTGAACATTTTTTAGAACGAACAAAATTATTTATAACGATTGAAAAAAATAAACGAAATGGTTCGTTCACGGACGATGAACGATAGAAATGAAAAAACACCCCCTTTGGCCTTTGGTCCTACCATACTTACTCAGTTATACTTTTTTGTAGCCCACGACATATATATTTCAAAACTATAATGTCCTTGTTTTCAGTTTCCTTTTGTAAATGCTATTTGGCAAAATTTTATAGATTTTTCGAACGGAGCAATTGTACGAACGGAAAAAAATAATGATAAAAGCTAACTTAATACAAAAAATAATTGTGAAATTATATTATATTTTAACAGTGACTATAAGCATATATTATTTTTATATTATATCTATATTGATCGGTGAAGCATATATATTACTATTATATTTCTTCAAATCTTCAAGTCTACATGCAGACTTATGTCTATAGCTGTCTACAATTGTATAGTTTCATTTAAAAAACTGTAAACAGAACAGTTCCCAACAGATTGCATTAATCGGCCACACTGGGTCGCCAGGAGTGGACTACTAGCAAGTTGGTCAACTGAATTCCAAGTGGAACTAGCGCGCCGGTCATCTGGCTTCAATATGACACTAGCCCGCCGTTCAACTTGTTTAGATCCAGGACTGGTCCGGCGTTCAACACAGTGGGAGCTAGCGAGCTGATCAGACTGACTGAGAGTTTTCTTTGATTTATTCAAGGGACTGGTCACGACACGTGACCGACGACTAGCGCGCCGAGCAGTCTGCGCCAACTGACCGCTCAGAAGAACATCATTGAACACCGAGGGTGTACTGGCAAGACTAAAAAAGAAAGATTAACATTTTGAATGTTTTTATTTTTATCATAAATTCATAATCATTTTTTTAACAATCTTAATAAAATCTGTTTCTTCTAGCTGCATTTTTCAAAAATTAAATAAAGTTATTTTTAACTTTTTAATTGAGGGAAAGTTAGGCAAGGGCGAGGGGATTAGATAAACAAGGGAGGGGGGATTAGATTTATAAAAATTACCTAGTAAGTATTGACGCGGATTTATTTCGAATTCTCTGAAACTTGTGATCCTCGTTCTGAACCTGGTTTAGGAGAAACCGGAGAATATTCTCATCCGTCCTCATCCTCTCCTTCTCCGTTCTGCTCAGCTCCTCCAGGATGTTAATCAACTGCTCCACAAGGTTTACAGAGCTCAAGTTCTTCCGTCCTACCTATAGGAGATACAAATTCAGTTTAAGGAAAGTGGATACATAATTTAAAGGGAGTGTAGACATAATTTAAAGGGAGTGTAGACATAATTTTGTAAGCAGCCACAAATAATATGTTTAAGGTTGGACTCAATTTAAGGATGTTACTTAAAAACGATAAAATATTTTGACCGCTTTGTAACAATATTTAATTATCAATGTATACCAAATAGATTCTAGTCTAGTACAATAGATGGCAACGTAGATTTTGTACACTCTCAGTACAGTCGTATTCTGTCATCACAGAGCCCAAAACTTAAGACAGGGTATCGTTATTAAAACCAGTTCTAAAACCCGGGTTTTATGAACGGGGTTAGGGAGTTTTGTGAAAATAGATATTTTTGTTATGAAATATTATATAATTCAGTTTGTTTATAGTCTCCATTTTTTTCGAATCTCTTAAAACAAAATCTACACAAGTGTTAAGACCCCAAAAAGAAAACTCAGGAGTTTCGTTCAACGATACTCTTTTAAATTTCAGGCTCTGGTGTCAATTCAGTTTTTTGTGTCCGACAAAATCATCAATAATAGTGATAATTTTAGAATAAAGTGCTTTTCCTACAGTAAAATAAGTGCAATTTTATGTGTTCTGTAGATTCTGTTTTAAAAAATTTTTATTTAATCTTGGAAAATATGTCAATTAATGTGAGAAAATTTCGTTTTCCTTGTTATATTTGACACTTGTGACGTCGTGCATAATTGGTTAATTTCTCTGTTGCCACCTATTGTACTTAATAATCTATTTGATGTATACACTAGCTTCGCCTGAAGATTTAAACAACATATTAAACTTAGCTAAGAACATTCTTGTGGTTCCACCGAGTTCCCAAATAAAATATTTTTGCAACAACTCTGATTTTTTTTCAAAACATAGATATATAGTTCTATACAGTGAGAACCCTTTTTACAGATAGGCCCGCCTGGCGCGCTTGGGTATAAAAGGGTTCTCCTTATATAGAACTATTATATAGAACTATATATCAATGTTTAAAATATAAATCAGAGTCGTTGCAGTCGGTCAAGGGGTTCCTAAGTCAAGATCGGACTTACAAAGAAACAGAACAACCGATATTACTACTTTATTTATGTGTATATCAATACCTCAAATATTAAAGTTCGAATTCGATTCTCTTTAATCAGCAGTTTTGTGGATTCAGGTTCCAAGCAGCATAGATGGGAAAGAGCAGCATAGATTAGAAACAGCTGCTCCCCATCTAGCTCTAGAGGGGAGAGAGGACGGGACGGAGATCCTTGCTGCTCAGGGTGCTCACAACTACTGGTAGATTCTTCAAGAGGGTTTGAGTACTGCTGGAGTAGGTTTACAAGACCAGAAATGATTTGAGGAATCCAGGTTCGAAAACTGGGAGATAACCTACTCAAATATTAGGTTAGAGCTATTTCTTTTTATCAAAATAGGAAAATTAACAGTTTGATCAGCTTAATATTCACCTCTTATCTTGAAGTAGCCAGGGGGAGGTAATTTGTGCCAAAATCCCAGCACATTCAACCTGGATAATGATAATAATAATGATGATGATAATAATAATAATAATAATAATAATAATAATAATAATAATAATAATAATAATAATAATGAAAATAATATGATAATAATAATGATATTAATAACAATAACAATAATAATGACATGAATAGCAATAACAATATTAATAATAATAATAATAATTAGTATTATCATTATTATAATGAATAAAGCTTGTTCATGTTTAAAGGTAATTATCAGTATGAGAGCTGTAATTTGAGTTGTTAAAGGGATAATCTGCGGGTTAATTACAGAAGTTTAAAGAGACCGGCCGCAATTAAGGCTTCTACACGATCCGTTCAATTATGGCAAATTGAATATCGTGTTTCTTTTTCTTTTTTGGCTTGATCTCATTCATTTTGTATTAAACAAAGGTAAAGTTTGTTAGAAAACTTTACTTTTGTTTGTGTACAAGGTATAGAAGTTAGGAAACTTTACCTTTGTTTGTGTACAAGGTATAGAAGTTAGGAAACTTTACCTTTGTTTGTGTACAAGGTTTAGAAGTTAGGAAACTTTACCTTTGTTTGTGTACAAGGTATAGAAGTTATGAGACTTTACCTTTGTTTGTGTACAAGGTATAGAAGTTATGAGACTTTACCTTTGTTTGTGTACAAGGTATAGAAGTTAGGAAACTTTACTTTTGTTTGTGTACATGGTATAGAAGTTAGGAAACTATACCTTTGTTTGTGTACAAGGTATAGAAGTTAGGAAACTTTACTTTTGTTTGTGTACAAGGTATAGAAGTTAGGAAACTTTACTTTTGTTCGTGTACAAGGTTTATTTTACCTTTGTTTGTGTACAAGGTATAGAAGTGAGGAAACCGCAAACTACTTCAACTCCCCCGCAATCCTCTAAATCTCTGCAAAAACAGATTTTCTTCAAAACTTTTTTCATTAAATCTGGAAACTATAGACCCACATAAAATTCATAGTTTAATAAGTATATAAATCGTGCAACCTTAAACCACATCTTTTGTGTGGGAAAATAGTTGCTGATGAACAAGGGCGCGGTTTTATAAATATTCATGCAAAAAAGCGCCCCCCCATTNCTATGCCCTCACCTTATCATCTCCTGTGTAGAGCAAACTGAGCTAAGTGCTCTAAGAGCAAGAATCCGTAAATGTTTGCTCTGTGATGAGACGGCTAGAGCAACCAGGGATCGAACAGTATCTAGACGGGAGAGTATCAAGGATATCTCAGAGTAATCTAATCCTCCAAACCCAACCAGCAACCTCAAACAAGACTAGAAACAAACAAAAACTTTACTTATAAGATTTATTCAGCAATTTTTACATTTTCTATATCCTTCTCCCCTCTCCCTTCTCCTTCTCCCTTCTCTGCTCTCCCTTCTCCCCTTTTTCTTCTCCCGTTCTCAACCTTTTCATGTCTTCTTCTTTTCACCTCTTCACGTTTCCCCCTATCATTTCCCCTACTCGTTTCCTTCTCTCCCATTTCCCCTTTATCCCTTTCCCTACTCCCTTTTAGTATCTCCATGTGCACCTGTATATTTGAATGAACAGCTGATAATCTGATGGTTCTCGCTACTGGTGCTAGTCTAGTCTCCAGGTAGAGGTCGGTTAGCTGAGCTAGACCCTCTCCGATATCCACTGTATACATGGAAAATTAACATTAATGGAACAAATGTTGACAAAAAAAATCACAGCCTTGGAACCTGGATTTATGCTCCAAGGTTTTATGTTTTGATATGATACAGGTAGGGTTGTTAATCGTTTTTGTAAACGATCGTTAAACGATCGTTAAACGATCGTTTTTTGTTTCGTTTTCAAAAACGATCGTTTCGTTTTCAGTTTTTAAAAACGACCCACTCATTTTAAACTTTTAGAAAACGAATAGCGATCGTTTTTGAAAACGATCGTTTTTATTAAAACGATTTGCGATCGTTTTTTATACGATTGTTTTTTAAAAAACGATCGTTTTTGAAAAAACGATCGTTTTTGAAATTTTTTTTTATTGACAATTATGTTAACGATCGTTAACGAAGGTCCGTCGTTAACGATCGTTAACGAAGTTCCGTCGTTAACGATCGTTAACAAAACGACGAATTTCATAAAAACGATTGTTTTTAAAAACGAGCGTTTTGAAAAACGATCGTTTTAAAAACGACCATTTTTAAAAAAACGAACTTTTTAAAAAACGATCGTTTTTAAAAACGATCGTTTCGTTTTCGATTTTTCGTCGTCGTTATCATAACGAAACGATCGTTTTTCTGAAAAATGAAAACGTTAACATCCCTAGATACAGGGCTTCTCACGAAGGGCAATATTGCAAAAACTACTTGAGACTCTTTAAATAAAATGATTCCAAGATAGAATTAAGTCTTCTGCGTTGAATCAAGTCGTTCAATGGTTTTTTAAGGATTTGGAAAAAAAACGGAACAAGTTTACAGCTGCAAGGAACCAAAAATATAAGGAAACAGACAGCATATCTTCCGTATAGTCAGGAAACGGGATGTGAAATTCAGTGAAAATATAAAAGAATAAAATACAAGCTTACCTAATATCTCTCTCATTTTTCCAATATTTTGTGTACAGGATCTTGCGTACTCTGCTTCTGTTAGAAGCTCATCAGCTCGATGTCCAAGATATTCAACCTAAAGTTGGAAAGTTTTAAAGAAAAAAATGGCAGATTAAAAATTCAATATGGCGACGCACAAGTATTAAAGATATTTTTTAAAGGAGGTGTGAGGAGTGCTTTTAAAATAAATCAAACAACATTTATCAAAAGTTTTAGAAAAAATGTCTCGTTCAAAAATTTTAAGAAATTCCGGAATGTGTTGTCTTAAAGATAGTTACCTTATCTAACAGAGTATTCCAGGAACCAACATCGGAACTTGACCTTCAAAAACAAATAATGATTAATTTTTTTCAAGATTAAACTTTTTTTATTAAATTTCAGAAAAATTTGTATTCTATTATTTCTAAATCTGACCTAAACCCAGGTAAATCCTTCAGATGAACAGCAGTGGGTGCAGGAGCAGCTTTTACTAAAGAGAGCAGTTCAATTGTCCAGGAGAGCAGCTCACGCAGCTTTCTGTTAATCTGGACTAGGTTCAGAGCAGCAAAATCCCTAAAGAAAATGCAATTAAAATTAAAGAAGTTTAAGTTTCCTATGAGTTGCAATGATCTTCTCCACCCTGTTCTCTAGGTATCCTCCTTCAGCACTAAAACCCTCCTCCTGGTACCCCTCTGTACAGAGAACGGGTTTACTATGCAGATATGTCATACACTCCGGTTCCATCGATCTTATTAAGGTTTCCAACCATACATCAACAGCTCCGGAGATAGGTCTAAAAAAAGAGACATATTAATAATATAAACTATAATAAAAATGTGCACAAGTTTCCAAAAACTTTGTATATTGTGGTCAGAGTATATGAATAGTAGTAAAGCTACTCAGTACATAAAGTGTTGTACAGCAGGCCAGTACACTAATAGTGGTACAGCGGTCCGGTGCAAGAAGAATGGTATGTTAGTAAGTTGCAATAAGTTCGGTTTTAATGAGTTTTTGACCTTTTAAAGGTTCCACACAAAACAATGAGAAGTTTCATAAATTTTATAATTGTTTATTCAAATGTTGCTTTTCTTACACTATCACCCCAAGATCAAAATATCTGAGGGAAAATTAACCAAAATATCTGGGGGAAAATAAACCAAAATATCTGGGGGAAAATAAACCAAAATATCTGGGGGAAAATTAACCAAAATATCTGGGGGAAAATTAACCAAAATATCTGGGGGAAAATGAACCAAAATATCTTGGGGGAAAATTACCCAAAATATCTGGGGGAAAATTAACCAAAATATCTGGGGGAAAAATTAACTAAAATATCTGGGGGAAAAATTAACCAAAATATCTGGAGGGAAAATTAACCAAAATATCCGGAGAAAAATTAGCCAAAATATCTGGGGGAAAATTAACCAAAATATCTGGGGGGAAAATTAACCAAAATATCTGTGGGGAAAAATTAACCAAAATATCTGTGGGGAAAATTAACCAAAATATCTGGGGGAAAATTAACCAAAATATCTGTGGGAAAAATTAACATAAATATCCGGGGGAAAAATTAACCAAAATATCTGTGGGGAAAATTAACCCAAATATCTGTGGGAAAAATTAACATAAATATCTGGGGGAAAAATTAACCAAAATATCTGTGGGGCAAATTAACCAAAATATCTGGGGGAAAAATTAACCAAAATATCTGGGGGAAAATTAACCAAGATATCTGGGGGAAAAATTAACCAAAACGCATCAAAAACGATCACGGGGGTTTGTTCTTTCTTTTTTCTCATAGGATAAAAATAGTGCAAAGTTTTTAAAAAGCTAAGTTTAACAGAATTACAGTTTTGAAATGTTGGAAGTTAATAGCCCCAGGTACAACCACCCGGTAAATAAAGTATTGTGCAAAAAGCCAGTAAATGAATTGTAGTACAGTGGGCTGTTGTACATAAAGAATGATAAAATAGGCCGATACACGAAGATTTGTACAACAGGCCGGTACATGAAGAGTGACAAAACAGACCGTTACACGCACTAGTCAAATGTAGGTTTTAAGGTAAATCAATTGTACAAAAAAACCAAAAGATGGGAGTTATTTTATGACCAACTGGTAAGGGATTCATGAAGAGAACGAATTATTTGGTGTACAGCCTCCAAATATATTTTGAATTTAAATTTATTAAGTTTTCTGTTCTTTACAGTTATTTTCTCTGAAAAAGTTACCTTAAATTTGAACAAATCCGGGAAATGTTGGGGGAAAATCTACGAAATAATTCTGTACACAGTGTGCAGTACACATCTTTGTAAAGTAATTTATAATGCCTTATCAAATAAAATCGCACATATTGTGCAGAATACTTATTTGCGCTACATTTGGAATAAAGAACCAGAAATGCGGAGATCTGAATGGACCTGGGGAGGCGGAGAAGTTGGTTGCCATGATACGAATGTATTCTAATCCTGACATATGATGAAAAGATGTTGAATCTCCCAGCTGGAATTTGCCCAACAGCATTAGTGTTTCACATATGTGGAATGAGAAAAATAGATCCAGTGGATGCATTAGTAAGGGTCGGTATCGATGGAGGTGCAGTGGATCTCTGAAACTTATTATGAATATTTTTGTACCTGAAACTACAGAGAGCCAGAAAGTAAAGGATACTGCAGTTAAAAAAGTTATATACATGGCTGCTGTAAAAGATATTCCGGAATCCCATCACAAAATGAGTAAACTTAAAACTCATCTACACGATTTGAAATTTCATATAGCCTCAGATCTAAAGCTGCTCAACATTATTCTAGGAATCAGCGCACATGGAGGGAAACACAGTTGTCTCTATTTTAATGGCACAGATACAAAAATATAAAACAATTTGATAATGTAATCCAACCATGTCTACTTAAAGAACCGCAAGAAAAACTAGTCTTAGATGTGATTCCGCCACCAGAGCTTCATTTACTTATGAAAATTGTTACTGTTTGCTCTTTTCTTCTCTGTAATGGAGCTCTTGTATCAGAATGGTTTAAGAAAAATGGTATTAGTTTCCATGGCTTCAATGCTGGTGGCCTGGATGGTCGTAATAGTAACAAGGTCCTGAAGAAACTTAGTGACCTAAATATATTTGTTACAGAAAATTGTCCAGAATATTTGCCAGTTGTTGGTTTTTTTCTTCAAATTTGAACAATTAGTTTTTGCCTGTTTTGGCATGAACCTAGTGGACGGGTACCAGCTTACCATAGAGGAATTTTCTAATGAATTAAACTATGTGACTATGTATGTGGAAAATAATCTCAACTCTAATATGCGCTTTGGCTGGAAAGGTCATATACTTCTTCATCACATTCAGCCTTTTCTAGACCACACCAGACTTCTTTGGGAGTTTCTTCAGAACAATGTAGTGAGGCTGCTCACTGTAACTTAAAACTTATCAGCGGTATGCCTCTAACGAAGATCATGAAGATCATGGAATCAAGTTTCAAAAAAGTATTATCTAGTTTTTCAAGCATGAGAATTTAATTGTAAACAGTTGAAAATAAATATAGCCATTTTGTATTATATTAGTGTTTATATGGTAATGCAAGGGCAAAACTAAAATGCTAAATTTTTTTTTAGGCTGTACACCAAATAATTCGTTCTCTTCATGAATCTCTTACAAATTGGTCATAGAATAACTCCCATCTTTTGGTTTTTTTGTACAATTAAATTTACCTTAAAAGCCTACATTTGACTAGTGCACGAAGAGTTGTACAGTTCAAATTCAGATGAATGAGTGAAAGTACATAATGTAATAATGAATTCTTGAATTTTATAAGTTTTCAAAATTTTATAAATAATTAATATCCTCACTTCTCTTTCTATTCAAACATTAAATTATAAAAAACGTGGAATTTTTTATTCATATTGCATGACTTGAGTTAAAGTAAAATAAATTATTTATATCATTTAACTTTTATTTTTACATAAAGTGGATTTTAAAAAGATGATTTTTTGGTTTTAAGTAGTTATTTTCTTTTAGTTTTAGAAATAAGAAGTTGTAGACTTTTACCTGGTGTGGGGTCTTCTTGGAGAACAAGGTTCAAGGTTGAGAGTAAACGTCTCTTCTCCTAGTTCAACCAGAGCACTATGGTGTAGCTCTGGCAGGACCGGAGGAAGCATTGGACTTAGATCCTGGAGAAATCGGTTTAGGGCGAAAGAAGGACGTTTCTCCGGTTTATTTCTCCGGGTACAAGTAGGAGCCTCACGGAAGCTCTGTGAAAAACCACGATGTTGCTCTGGGTTGTATGTTGAGCACGTTTCAAGAGGAAGAGTTCGGGACCTACAAATTTTCTCCGGATTCTTAACACAGGAGAGAATGGGAACTGCAAAATTTCTTGTCTTTATCGTCCGTCTTGGCCGGCAAGAAGGAGAAAGACGATTTTCCAGGGGTTGGACTGAACAGGTGAGACTCTGATAAAGTTTGTTTCTTCTCTCAAATTTGTGTTGAACAAAGCTAACTGGAGTTCCCTTAGGTTCGTTTTGGGTTGAGTATGGTTTGATTTCAAGGTTTGGTTTGGTTTCAAGGTTTGGTTGGTTTAAAGCTTGTTCGAGGGTGAATTTTCTCAAGGATAGTCTGCCTCCTTTAACTCTGCTCACTGGAGTACTTTCCAGGACACCCCTTACGCTAGATCTTACTGGAGTGCTTTCAAAAGGACTCCTCAGACTAGATGACACTGGAGTACTTTGGAATAAACCCTGCTCTCCTGGCCGTGTACTATTGTGGACTCCTCCTATTCCTGGAGAATAAAGATAATTAACTAAATTATTCAAAGTCTATTGTTCCAGGGATCTTTACGCTTGAAGAATCTTTAAAAAGATTTGAAGATGAAAGATTTTAATATTCTTTTATTAAAAAATTAGGATTTTAACAAAACATGCATTGGTGGTTTTTTAATATTCATTTAATCATTCACGCAGTCATTCATCCAAACACTCATCCTAGTATTTATTCATTTACTCATTAATTTACTCACTTGAGTCACTCACTCTCTCACTCAATCACCCTTTCATCTTTTTACTCACTCATTATTTCACTCACTCACATACTCGATCAATTACTCACTCACTCACTCACTCACTCTCTCACTCATTCACACTTAAACTCACTCTCTCACTCTCTCTCTCACTCACTCTCTCACTCTCACTGTCTCACTCACTCTCTCTCTCTCACTCAACCTTTAACTTACTCATTAATTCACTCACTCACATACTCGATCATTACTCCCTCACACGTTAACTCACTCAATCACACACTCAATTAATACATTCTTTCATACACTCATTCATTTACTTACACTTTTACTTACTCACTTAATAACGTACTGACCTATACTGTAAGGACTAGGTGAGAGTAAGTATTGTCTTGAACCCAAAATAGGAGTAAACATATTATCCAGGTCTCTTTCCTCCTTCTCCTCCTTCTCTACCTTCTCCTTCTCCACCTCCTCCTTCTCATTGCTGAAGCTCCTTCTCTCCCTTCTATCCTGGTTTGAACTCTCAGCAGTATCTGAAAACCCAGAATCCTGACTTTTCATACTCCGTCCAGTCGGAGAGAGTCGAGTTTTCTCCGAGATATCTTCGTCCTGGAGAGATATATGAGAAAACCTTCTCGAGGTTTCGTGAATAGAGGTTCGACTAGATTTTCTTTGAGAAAAAATGGATTGATTGGAATCATTTTGTCGTCTTATTTCCTCCATTTCTAAAAGTGACAGTGCACCGTGTAAATCCTCATCACTTTCGAACTTAGGTTCGAGTTGAAGTAACGGGGTTCGATCCAATGCTCCTCCAAGTTCGATGCTGAGTCGTTTATTTTTGAATTTTTTTCTCTCATTTGATCCTGAAAAGCTGACCGGATCTGAATGTTCCGTCAACAAACATACATTATCATCTCGTCGTTCCTTTAAACTTAAACTTTTTCTAAGCTTTGAACCTCTCCGGGTAGGAAAGGGACTACTGCTGTACTTAGTAAACGACACGGATAAGTCCTCCCTAGTTTCAGTCGCTTTTTTACTGAATATTTCCGAATAAAATCGACAAAGAGACTTTACAAAACTCTTTTCTGATTTTGGCTCATTTTTAACTATTTGGAGAGTTCTTGGCTCACTTCTGGCTCTCTGGGGCATGGGTAAAGATTCAGGAGTGCTCAAATGGCAATCTGGAGTATTTGAAGAAGTTAAACCTGGAGTAGTAGGCCATCTTCTTAACCTGGGAGTGGTAGGAGTCTCAGTTAAACAGGAATATCGGTGAAAATGTTGGTTTGACTCCATTCTTTCTTCACCGAAGCTTTGTGAGAAACTAACTCGTTTTTGTTTTTTACCTACTCCAGGTTCCTCAAAGCTAACATATCCTCGACGGAAAATCTCAACCCTGTTCTCTAACTTTGGGCGGAGGAAATTTTCCCGTTCTCGGTGTAGGTTCAGTAAATTCTCCGTTTTCTCCAGGTCTAGCCCAGAGTAGTCCTGAAACTAGATTAAACTTCACTTAAACAAATAATCAAGAAACGTTCACGCGCGCATATTAGGCTCATAATTGAATAGAAATGAAGATCCTACAGTGCGCACATTCCAAAAGAAGGCAGATGGAAACTTTTGTTACGGCTTGATCGGTGAATAGATTTGAAAGCGCGCATTACTTCCGACTCATCACTCTGTGCACCTGGCCTCTACTAAGTGAGAAAGCATATATACAATTTAAATCTCGCGCCTTTAAACCATTGGAGCGCGCAGGGGTCACGAGCCGGTACTAAAGCAGAGAAGGCGTGACGGTACAACTAGATTTGATAATTTGTCGGACAATTTCTAATATCTGTATGGGCCCAATATTAATAAACACACTTTACCTCAAATCGCCTCATATTGGCGTCTGCGTAGGACAGATGAAAAAGACAATGAGAGCTTATAAAGTAGAGCAGTTGCTGTTGCTGACACGCTTGGATTATATCTCTTCTTTGATTTCCTCTTCTTAGCCTCAATCTTTATATTCGCTCCATGGAATGGATTCCGATAAATTGTTTGAGCTCTGCAAAATAAAATTGTTAATAAAAATGAATTTTTTTGATCTGGAATAAAGTTTACAAGTATGTTTATATTTTACATTGTACATTATATAGCGGGTTACCATTACCAAAACATTATGTTCTTTAACTTAGTAACTAAATTCTGCTATTTTTAATTATATCAATTTAATTTGATTAGAAAATCATTTCTTAAAATGGTTAGTCGAGTACGTTTTTAAAGTAGGTTATGTATAAAAGAAGTCGTCAATCTTTAATTCTTCTAGTTTTTTTTGGTTACATGATCTATTTCAAATAATTGTTTTTCGTTACAAATAATTTTTTTATTTATAAAATGCAAAACTTTTGAATTAAAAAGTTTCATGTTTATTTCGCATTAGAACTCATTATACTCGTTACCATTAGAATGATTCATGCAATACAAGTTAATTCAGACCTTCACTTTTGTTAATATAAAAACAACGATCTTCCTTTTAATTATCAAAATAAATGAAAATAGGAAATTCTATATTATACTAAAGAAAGGGTGAATGTCAACGGTGAAAATTGTGCAATCAGTTTTTGCAAGGGTACTGTTAAAAATCGGGCATTGCCATCTTTGCATGGAGGATTATATGAAATTACGCTTACAGTCCCTTTAAATTTTCACACACACAAAAAATGAATAAGTTCAATTGTTATATGTAAACAAAGTTAGTTAAAAATCTAAATTATTTTCTAAAAAGATTTTAAAATTTTTTAATTTCCAACCTGTGTAAGTTGTTTTCCATGTCTCTCTCTATCCATCTATCTGAATCTAGTGCTGCCACCAATTTATCTAGAATGGTTTGGACTGAATTCAATTCAATTAAACATTTCACATTTTATAAAAATAAAATATATTAAAGGGACCGATAACGTAATTTCAAGTGACCCTCTATTTATACATTGGCATGTACGATTCACAACGTGGTGAACCCTTTATCTGAGTAACAACGAGGATGATATTGCCGTTTTTAATTTCGTAAGAATAAAATTCTGACATTTTCCTTAATTTGTTCTGCATCATAAATCCGAAAGCCATTTTTCTAGATTAAACAGAATTGAAAATAATCAACTTTCAGTCAGAGAAAAAAGAATAACTCTGATGCATCCTTGATCCGAATAAAATTTGAAGAGTACCGAATAAAATCGAACATGCCAAAGCTTTACTTAAAGCTTTACTTGAAATGACGTCTACAGATCCTCTCAGGCAATATTGTAAAGGTGTAAAAATCTACCTTCAAAAAAACGTTGAAAAATGTTTGACCAAAATGCCAGGATTTGTTTCTTTTTTCATAAAGAATAGCTTTTATTTTTAGAATTTTGAAAATACTCTTCATAAGCGTTCATATTACAATTTACAATCAAAATCGTGACGTAAACAGGGAATTACTTTCCATCTACAGACATAGTTAACTTTGCTTGTCTGAGTGTCTGTTTGTTTGTTTGTTTGTATCCAATAACCGAAATAAAGGCTGAACCGATCGGGTCCAAATAATTTGTATCCACTCACATCATAATAGGAGCTTTAAAAGACTGGTAGAAATTAAAATATTTGGACCGGGGAAAAAGTTTGAAAACGATAAAAAAATTGAGACTTTTACGTTCAAATCTAAAATTTTTAAAAGGAAAAGATCGGCGCTAAGTGTAGGGAAGTGTAAGGAAGTGTAGGGAAGTGTAAGGAAGAATAGGGAAGGGTAGGTATTTTTTGAACATTTACTTTGCAACTTATATCATATATTTTCCTGTCTAATGAAAACTTAAAAAATTTAAAATAATATTGAAATTAATAGCTTGGTAAAATAGAACAGGTTAAAGTCACGTCTTTACAGTACACAAATACAAACATATCATATTTGAAATATCTGTATCATATGTAGGAGGAATCTGATATAAGTTGCCATCGATTACTATTTTCATTTTTATTTCCATCCAAATCCTTTTATTTCCATCCAAATCCATTTTTGTTTCCATCCAAATCCTTTTATTTCCATCCAAATCCATTTTTGTTTCCATCCAAATCCAAGTTATAAAAGATAAACGCTGATATGCTTAATATTGCACGAAAATTAAACTTAAAGTGGAAATATGTTATTACTCACAGGATTAACTTTATCAACAAAACTATAGTACGCAATTATTAGCGTAAAACTATAGTACGCAATTATTAGCGTAAAACTATAGTACGCAATTATTAGCGTAAAGTCAAAGGAAATACTTTTTCTCCTCAATAATATGAGATGTTTATAATATTTCAAAATTTGGTATTATTACAGTATGCAACTTTTTAACGATTTATCAACAAGATTAAAAAATCAATTTAATTAATTTTGCCTTTTATAGTAAAACTATTGAACAATGTAAAAAAAAACTAAAAGAGCGCAAAATTCAAATTTAATCAATTTAAATCAAATCAAATCAAATCAAATATAATCAAATCAAATCAATTCAAATCAAATCAATTCAAATCAAATCAAATCTAATCAAACTAAACAAATCAATTCAAATCCAATCAATTCAAATCCAATCAATTCAAATAAAATCAATTCAAATCAAATCAATTCAAATCAAATCAATTCAAATCAAATTAATTCAAATCAATTCAAATCAAATAAATTCAAATCCAATCAATTCAAATCAAATAAATTCAAATCAAATCAATTCAAATCAAATCAATTCAAATAAAATCAAATAAAATCAAATAAAATCAAATAAAATTAAATCATATCAGATCAAATAAAATCAAATAAAATCAATTAAAATCAATTAAAATGAAATGAAATGAGATGAAATGAAACAAAATGAAATGAAATGAAATCAAATCAAATCAAATCAAATCAGACCAGAGCCCGAGACTTGAAAGCATCAGACCTGGCGTTCAAAATTCTAGAATAATTCAATTAAAAATATTGTAAATTATGTACGCCAAAAAATAAACTTATAATTATTAACATCTAAAATTATTATGGAGACCCTAGACTATTTAGAATGGACCAAAAAACAATACCAATTTCTAATCCTTATAATAGATTAAAATCATCAAAATCCACATAAAATGTTTAAATGGAAAGGCAAAATATCTGTTAATGATAATCTATAATATTTTATGAAAACAATGTTTAGCAAGGTTGGGAACCCATCTTTTCCTAGTTTTCCCTAAAAAAGTCAACTTACTCAACATAACACTTGTACACCAAAGCTCTAATGTAGAATACTCAGGGGTTCCTTCACCTGTAGAATACTCAGGGGTTCCTTCACTGTAGAATACTCAGGGGTTCCTTCAACATCTTTTAGACCATTTTTTCTAGCCGTTTGGCCAGCTATATAAATATATACTAGGCTTTTAGGTATTTCAATTTTGAATTATAGCTCTATCTGTGAATTTTTTCGTAGATTTTCAGAAGTTTAGAAAAAAAACTACATTTTTTGAGGCTTATTTTTGAAATCCATTAACAGATAAGCTTAAAGTATATAATAAATACAGACATGAGCAAAGAGCTTTTTTATACAGATTTTATCAGCGAGCATATATACCAAAAAGCGATAAATTTCGGCACATCCGACACGCCACAAATATTACACCAATCGGATTAGCTGTTATTGAATCCAAAAAAAGACAACACACAATTTGTTATACATCGGAGTCTTGGCGCTCGGACCCAAATTCGTCTATCTAAAATATCAGTTAAAGATAAAAAGCGGAAAAGAGGTGCGAAGCGTTCTAAATTTCTATAATTGCAAAAAGATATCTGTTAAATGAAAAGGTTCTCTGTATGCCTGAAGGTCACCTGAAGTCCTGTGGACCCCAGTAGACAGATGTTAAAAACCAACAATATTCGACAAACTTTTCGACAAAACCAATGATTAATCGTTTTTAATATTAATACTATAGAATGCGTTCGCAATATACTAACTGGGGATTAGTGATTAAAATATTAAACTACTAGGCTTTCAGAGGCTTCGCGCACATCTTTTATTTAATTGTGACTCTATCTATCTGTAAGGTTTTTCTTTTTAACAATATAAAACAATAAAAAAATTCGAGGATTTATTAATTTTTTTTCGTGGATTTTCAAAATTTTACGAAAATCAAAATTTTTTGAAGGATCTTCCCTGAATTTTCTGTATTCTAAAAAAGTAGAAGAAACCCCACCCCTGTTTAATATCCTTGTGATTTAAAAAAAAATTAAGTTTATTTTGACAGGTTTTGATTAATTTATTGGGAAACCTTTTTTTCATGAGAAATATTTTTTTTCGAAAATTAATCTTTCTTGCATAGATCCAATCAGTCATATCTAGAATTTTTATTCTATATTAATTTCTTTACAAAACTTTCTGTACTCTATTTTTATTAAATAACATTAATATACAGGGCTGTTCACAAAGAATAAGACTTTAAAGACGACTGCACAGAATATCTTCTTCTTCTTTAAATTTATGATCCCTTCAACTGCAAAAGTTTCTGTCTTTACCTAATCATTGAATTAGCCAGTAAAAGAGCATATTCAAGTGAGAAGACTTAATTTAACCTCGAAATATGAGTTTCAGGTCGTCTTTACAATCTCATCCTTTGTGGGTAACCCTGTAGCACATCTAATGTGTTTGTTACAGTCGATTTTGTCTATCAATTAAGTTTGAAAACATTTAACTTACGCAATTTTAGAAACCATTCAACTCACGGATTTTTATGATCTCGGCAATTACGTCCGCCGACTAATAAATCGTGCATGGATACAGTTATTACTCTTATTATAGCTTTCAGTATTATTCCTTTTATAGAAGGAATACTCTCTATACACACACTACACAATAACACGTTAAACAGTTAGATTTGTATTTTTATACAGTGACACCCAGGAACTAGGTGAAACTGAAGACGACATTTATAGCTTTCAGTATTATTCCTTTCATAGAAGGAATACTCTCTATACACACACTACACAATAACAGTTAGATTTGTAATTTTATACAGTGACACCCAGGAACTAGGTGAAACTGAAGACGACATTTACGCAATCTTGTTTGTTTTTGAGGTTGTTGGAAAGCAAATACTAATTTTACTTGTATAGCCTTGCAAATATCTTATAAAGTTAAATAGATATATATGTCCAATTGCTTTGTTTAATATTCTTTTGACTATTTACTAGCATAATAGTCGAGTGGGTCACTCTGTACTATTTGATCATATTTTTACATTAAACCGATTTGTACACCACGTCCACAGCGTTTGCAATCCTCTATGTTTATTACAGGGTTACCCAGAAAGGATTATACTTCAGAAGGTTGTACGGAATTTTTACTAGCTGTATCCTTATATTAATGATTTCATTAAACTTTTTTTACCTAATCATAAAATGAGGCCATGGAAAGACTCTATTAAAGAAAGATGACCTTCGAGTTGTCGTATTTAATGAGATTAAGCCGTCTTTATAGTCTTATCTCATCCTTTGTTGGGTATCCCTGTATGATAACATTTGATTAGCATTGCATGTATTAAGAGCATGAGGTATACAAGGTCATCACGTTTATGTTTAATAACTTCTATTCCTCTCTGTTATTCAATACCTTTCCTCTATCTACTACTTTTCATATTTTCCTCCTTTTCCTTTAGTTCTAAATTGTTTTTGTTTTATTTAAATTTTTTAAGTTTCACATCAAAGAGTGAGAAAACAATGAATTGCAAGCATCACACATTACACTAATGTACAAACTTTGCTTGTCTGTTTAATTGTCTGTCTGTTTGTATTCAATAAACGTCAAAACGGCTGAACCGATCGGGCCCAAATTTTGTGTGGGACCTCAAATGGCCCCAGGGAAAAGTTTTGGGTGTTCAGAATTTTGAAAATCCATGAAAACAAAATTTAAATCCGCAAAACCTTTTGTAATTGTTTAATCAAAGAGAAAATGCTGAACAATTTAGCAAAAATTAAAACTTGAATTAGAAGATGGGCGCAAAGCAACCCTGACAGCCTAGTTACATTATATTAAGTAATTTATCATCTCTTAAATTAATCAAAAAAAGAAGTTACGCATAAAACTTTCATTCTAAAAAAATTTATTATAGTTTAATGTAAAAAGAACTTTTTCAGTTTAGAATTTGTTTAAATTTTGTCCTTTTTGACATAAATTTTATATCATCTCAATGTTGTCTGTACTCTGTGGAAATTACACGGATGTTTTTGTCTTTTACACAACATGATGTTTACATACTAGATTATACAAAAACAGTAGAACTTTTTATTCTTTTTTATTTAACAGGAGCTAAAGAAATTTACAAGACAGTTACAGTAAGACCCATAAAACAGTGGAATAGGAAGACGACTGTTGGACTCAAGTTATAATTTTAAATACTCCAATGAGACCTTAAACACAAAATTTATGTAGCAGTGAATCTAGGATTTAAAATGTTAAAAATTAAATTTAAATGTTTAAAATGTGTATTCAAAGAAGTTAATTCTTAAAAAAAAATTTTGTGTAAAAATTGAAAACTCGACCTCATGAACAAGTGTTTGAAAAATGACGTAAACAGCGAGGCCGGGTTGCATTCAGGGGAGGGAGAGGTTTCAAAATAATTAAAAGGGGGGATGCCGCATTACATTTACAATTTAAAAAAAATTCAAAAAATTGTAAATATTGAAGATATCATAGACATGAATATCAAATATAAGAAGATTTTGTGCGCAAGTTCTTTTTCAATGTTGGTTATCAGCAGTAATATAATATGACCTCTTTAAAAACAGCCAATAAAAGTTTGTTTTTACAATTCTGGCTCTGATTCATAAAATACATCAAACATTGTGACGTAAACACTGTTTTTAAAACAGCTGTAGAACACTCTCCAACAGACTTCAGTCAGATTTTCAGGCGAGAAGTAAATATTAGAAAAATTAAAGGGATTGTAAGCGTAACTTCAAGGGACAATGATGTCAATGTCTGATTTACAAAGCTATGTATGATCAAGTGTGCTTAAGATATCAATGTTTTTGTTTCTTTAAACGATTTATTTTCATTAGCGGTTTCTTTGCGAAAAAGACTTTTCGAGTCGGTAAAACATCTTCCACATTTTAACAGATTAAGGTTTCAAGGGTACTGTTGAAAATCGGGCACTGCCATATTTTCATGGAGGACCAATTCAAATACTTGATTTTGTTAAATTATTTTGTAAATAGATTGACAGGAATCCAGATATGCCTGAAAACTAAACGTTCAAAGTCAGAGAAATTTTTTTACCAAGTTAAGAACAATTCAGAGGTTTAAAAAAGTTTTCCAATGAAATTTAAGGCAAATCAGACAATGGGTTCCAGAGTTGTAATCTGACATCCAAACAGACAGACAAACAAAGATTACTACGTTATGTTTACAAACTAGTTGAAGTGCCCGGCGTTGCCCGTGGAGTTATAAAAACACTTTGGAAATTATTCTTTAGACTCTGTTACTCCCAGGGTTTCCTAAAACAATTCCAGCCAGTTTGGTCCCCCCATTTGGCCAGCTATAGCTAACATACAAAGAGCTTTATTTCTTATAAAGGATAAATAGACAGGGGTGCAGGTCTGCAGAAATAAATTATGTGATAGAATTCATAAGGCATAAAAGGATAGCTGAGCTCCCCTAAATGATCACTTACTATTTAAGTGATCTCTTTATGAATGATCACTTACTCCACTTTATTCAAGATATTTTTGTTGAGGTTTTGTGGCGCTATCAAAATAAAACTCGCATCAAAAACAAATCAAAACAAGTCGAATTCACGATAGATTCAAAATTCGAAGCGATTATCTATCTATCTATCTATCTATCTATCTATCTATCTATCTATCTATCTATCTATCTGTTCTCTATTGTCCTTGAAATTTAAGTGACCTCAGTTTGGTTGAGCACCATATATAAACAAGTCCAAGATATTTTTACCCAAACCAAGAAGTTAAAACTTTAGGAAACATCTCTCAGATCCTTGACGCCCCAAAGGTTCAGTTACTCTTACAATATTCCTGATGATTATAGTTTTATTGGCTTACACGTTATATATATATATATATATATATATACATACACTCTTGGGTTTCTTTTAACACCAAGCAAATTTAGAGGCGTTAAAGGGGTGGGGGGGGGGCTAACATTTCTGCCCACCCCCCCAAAATATATTTATTTTCACATTTATTCATTCTTTTCAAACAGTTTTTCCATCTATCCCTTCCTTTAAAGCATTCAATTCTCCTTTGCATTAGAAACATTCCTTCATGTAAATAAAATTTGGTTTGATAAATCATTTAACAACTCCTCTCAATAAACAATATAAGGGACTACTGTCCTTGTAATTTCAAGTGTTTATCCATTTCCAGAGAGGCATGTTCGATTGACATCGATACCCTTTAAACCTAATCTTATTAAAATGTGAGAAAAATCTTTGTTTTTTGCTTTGAAATTGATTAATTCTGACGATTCATTCTGTTGGTTCTGTAGCAGAAATCTGCATTACATTTTTGTAGAAAAACAACTATTACAGGGGCAGTCGTAGTACATTTGAATTTCCGAGCCGGGTCAACCTTTCCGGTCCCAGTTTGTACTGTATCGCCCGGACATTGGGTAAATAAAGCAGACACTTAATAGGTCTAGCCGGTGCAACAAGGTTGACGCGGTCTGAATTTAGGTTGAATTTACTTTTACTAAAGGGTCAGGGGTGCGTGATTCTAGTACATTCAAATTTTCCGACATAAAATGTATTTTTTCATTCATTTTAAAATGAATAAAAAAACACATTTTGAGTAAACAAATAAAGGTACCTTTGTGAATCAGACATGCAGCTCTTTCTTTTTTCTTACTTTTATTTTTAAATAAATAAATATCGTACTATATTTTTCAAGCTTAATTGTGTAAAGAAAAAAAGATAAAGATGTAGATATGGTGGTTACGCTAATGCTAATAGATTCTAGTACAATAGGTGGCAAAGTAGAATTAATTTGTACACTTTCCGTACAGCTGTATTCTTACGTCACAAGTGTCAACTTAGTTTTTGTGCCAGACAAAATTATTGATAATAGTGATAGTTTAAGAATATTTAAAGCTTATCTTACAGTAAAAATAAGTAAAATTTATGTGTTATTTAGTTTTCGTTTTTACACTTTTTTATTTAGTCTTGGAAAAGATGTCAACTAACGTGAGAAAATTTGGTTTTCCTTGTTATATTTGACACTTGTGACGTCGTGTATAACTGGTCCATTTCTCTGTTGCCACCTTTTGTATTTGATAATCTACTTGCGCTTATATTTAATTCATACTGGATCAGACGAAGCACATTTAATGGTACGGTTAGGAATTGAGAATTGCCATCTATGCATGGAGGGTCACTTGAAATTACGCTTACAGTCCCTTTAAGATTGAAAAGTAAAATAATCTTAACTTATTTGGAACACTCTGTATCATTATATACCATACTTAAATCTGTATATATTTCTATACTATTTCACCATGAATGCTTCCTATGTCTTTTAAGTTATTTTTATCCAAACGTGACATTAAATATGTCAAAAGTTGTCAATTATGACATAAATATTAAACAAAAGAAAACATGGAAAACTGTTTTTGTAAAAAATAAAACCGTTTTTAACCTTAAAGGGATTGTAGGCGTAATTTCAAGTGACCCTCTTAATTTAAAAAATACATGGCCAATTCCAAGGAGATATTGAATAGAAGGAGGGGGCGATAGGGTTTCCGTACACTTTGCTGTGTTCATATATATATTTGTATTATATTTGTATGTATATTCGTATATATGTTACCTTTAGCTTACCAAACAGCTGACCAAATTCGCTGAAAATTTTGGAGGGAACCAATTAGTACCCCGAGGGTAAAAAGGCTATAAAAAATTCGATTTTTTTTAATCGAAATTTTTTATTTTCAAAAATGAAATTTTTTTCCTTCAAAATTTCTCGGGTAACGCCGGGTACTTCAGCTAGTTATTATTATTTAAAACCATAAAATCTTCAAGATCAAATAGTCTAAGTTTGAAATATCAAAGGTTTACACAATCAGGTTCCAAAAGATAAAGGAATGAGAAAATTTAGGTTTGTATAAAATTTAAAATTTTCCTTGTTAACTCTGACAGAATATATGAAGCCTGGACAAAGCAAAACACGAAAATTATTAAGCTAACGTCACAATTTTGTGTTATGAAAGCAAACACTTTGAATGTTTAAAGCAAAATAAGGTATTTGTTTTAGAATGGGAAAGGGGGGGGGGAAGATTCCCACAACCTCTTTTCTGGAGGTTTTTAAATATTTACTTTTTAAATAATTAATTTGAAATTTGCTTGTTTGTTATATTTTATAAATAAATTAGTTACTTATCACAATTAATATTATTTTTAGTACAATAAATGCTATTATTAGTACAATTAATATTATTATTAGTACAATTATTATTTAAAGTAGTACAATTAATATTATTATTAGTACAATTTTACAATTTTATTGATACAATTAACATTATTATTACTACAATTAATATTATCATTATCAGGAAGTACTGTAGTATCAAGTAGGCCGGCCGCACATTCGTCCTTTAGGTAAATTTTTCCATTTTTGTCCATTTTTAAATTCATTGTATGTATATTGTTAGATTTTCAATTTTTCAACCGTTTTGACATTCCATTAAATCAAAAAGATTAAACATTTTAAAGTTTGATTTTTCTTTGATAAAATGTAATTATGTAGTATGTCAAAACTCACAAAATTATGTGTAAAAGTTGCTTTTTTTCGGCTCTGGGGGATTAAGCAACTTTTTGGAACATAGGAAGTTTTTTTAAACATCGACAATATTTAGTTAAAGAATATGTAAACAATATTTAGTTTAAGAATGTGTAAACAATATTTAGTTAAAGGATGTGTAAACAATATATAGTTAAAGAATGTGTAAACAATATTTAGAAGAATGTGTAAACAATATTTAGTTTAAGAATGTGTTAACAACATTTAGTTAAAGAATGTGTTAACGATATTTGGTTTAAGAATGTGTAAACAATATTTAGATTAAGAATGTGTAAACAATGTTTATTTAAAGAATGTGTAAACAGTATTTAGTTGAAGAATGTGTTAACAATATTTAGATTAAGAATGTGTAAACAGTATTTAGTTAAAGAATGTGTAACAATATTTAGATTAAGAATGTGTTAACAATATTTAGTTAAAGAATATGTAAACAATATTTAGTTAAAGAATGTGTTAACAATATTTAGATTAAGAATGTGTAAACAATATTTAGTTAAAGAATGTGTAAACAATATTTAGTTTAAAAATGTGTAAACAATATTTAGTTAAAGAATGTGTAAACAATATTTAGTTTAAGAATGTGTTAACAATATTTAGTTAAAGAATGTATTAACAACATTTAGTTAAAGAATGTGTTAACGATGTTTGGTTTAAGAATATGTAAACAATATTTAGATTAAGAATGTGTAAGCAATGTTTAGTTAAAGAATCTGTTGTAACAATATTCAGTTAAAGAATGTGTAAACAATATTTAGTTAAAGAATGTGTAAACAATATTTAGTTTAAGAATGTGTAAACAATATTTAGTTAAAGAATGTGTAAACAATGTTTAGTTAAAGAATGTGTTGTAACAATATTCAGTTAAAGAATGTGTAAACAATAATTAGTTAAAGAATTTGTAAACAATATTTAGATTATGAATGTGTAAACAATATTTAGTTAAAGAATGTGTAAACAATATTTAGATTAAGAATGTGTAAACAATATTTAGTTAAAGAATGTGTAAACAATATTTAGATTAAGAATGTGTTAAAAACATTTAGTTAAAGAATGTGGTAACAATATTTAGTTAAGAATATGTGTAAACAACATTTAGTTAAAGAATGTGTTAACAATATTTAGTTTAAGAATGTGTAAACAATATTTAGTTAAAGAATGTGTAAACAATATTTAGTTTAAGAATGTGTAAACAATATTTAGTTAAAGAATGTGTAAACAATATTTAGTTAAAGAATGTGTAAGCAATATTTAGTTTAAGAATGTGTAAACTCAATTTAGTTAAAGAATGTGTTAACAATATTTTGTTAAAGAATGTTTAAACAACCGTAAACAATATTTAGTTAAAGAATGTGTAAACAATATTTATCTAAAGAATGTGTTAACAATGTTTAGTTAAAGAATGTGTTAACAATGTTTAGTTTGAGAATGTTTAAACAATATTTAGTTTAAGAATGTGTAAACAATATTTAGTTAAAGAATGTGTAAACAATATTTAGTTAAAGAATGTGTTAACAATTTTTAACTTAAGAATATGTAAACAATATTTAGTTTAAGAATGTGTAAACAATATTTAGTTTAGGAATGTGTAAACAATATTAAACATGATGAAATCATGGAAAAACAGCACTGGAATTATAGTTATGATAAAAATGGAAAGAATCTACATTTTTTTAAATTTCATATTTAGAATGCTGCGGATGAGTACAGAGTACAAGAACATAAATGCAGACACTATGTACGATGTACTGCATGACCCTGAGTACAGAAAGGTAAATGTAAACACCCCGTACGATATACTGAATGACCCTAAGTACAGAAAGGTGAATGTAAACACCGTGTACGATATACTGAATCACGCTGAGTACAGAAAGGTAAAGATAAACACTATGTACGATGTACTGCATGACCCTGAGAACAAAAAAAACATTGTGTACGAAGAACTGCATTATCTTAAGTACAGAAAGATAAATGTTAACAGTTTTATCTCATAGTTTTGAACTTGTGAGTCTAAAATTATGGACGAAACTATGTTTCCTTTTTTGTTTCTCACAATCCTTATTCAAATCATAAACAGTCCCTTTGATTTAAAAAATTGTGATGCAACACCCGACCCTTTCTATAGATATAAATTCAGCAGAGGGATTCATATAAATTCCGAACATTCTAATCCTTAATTTTCCTTGTCCTACATGTAGTCTTCGGAGGAGAATGAATGAATGGTTTCCAGACAAAAACTGAGAATTGAACAAGGAAAACTGCCAACATAACTTTACAATAGAAAAAACTGAACCAATGATTGAGACCAATAAAAATACAGTTCCTTGATTTAGACCAAACTACAATCTTGCAATGTATTTATTAAAAGTTTCAATCCAACCTTAAGGAACCATGGAATAGCTGGGCGTATTCAGGGGTTGCCCCCCTAATAGAAAATGGTTGTTTGTACACCCCCCCCCTCCCTGTATAGACTGTATACACCCTTGAACAAATATTTCCATGAAAAATGTAATACAGAATATAGACGCACTTTAAATAGATTCAACATGAAAGTTGTCTTGCAAAATTAAAGACATTAAATTAGGGGTAATGCAAGGAAAAACTTACTAGATCAATAAAGTCTATATTTTCCAGGGGGTTCTTAGGTTCTAACCTAGGTGCTAAGTTCCATTGGGAAAAATGAAGGCCCCCCCCCATGATAAAATTCCTGCATACCCCCTGCGCTTATAGTTCGTTATTCATCAACTTATGAAAGTAAAAAAAAAAAACATCTTATATATTCATTTTTATTGAACACTGCAATCTGCGCGTTATTTGTGTGGGGAAACCATTGATTTATTTCTATCGAGAAAGAGCTTGTTACAAAATAATTGAAACTTGAAACAATCCTAATCAATTAGCTTGTCAGTTCAGCTTTCAATGGACTAATAATCATCATTTTAGAATAAAAATCATATAAAAAATACTCTGTATTTTTTAATAAATGTTCGGACAATATTTATATTCAGGACATATTAAAAAAGCGTGTATTTAAAAGACACGTCCGACGTCGTCTTTATTTCCGTGCTTTGTTTATATTCAAGCAAAATTTTGTTGCCAAAAAAATTAATCCTAACAAAATTGTTGATATTAAAATGTTAAAAGGTAGAATTGAAAGAATTGCATTTAGTAATTTTTGGAATTTGCATAATAATAATTAAAAACTTTAATTTGCATAATTTTACGCAAACTTTTGTGGGTCTTAACTCTTAATGCAAATATTTACTGTATTATCTTATTCAATGTGATCTTGCCAGGCTACATTTGTTGCATTTAACGTGTTGGGTCGACTCAGGGTTTCCAAGAAATGACCATATTTTTTGCACAAAATTTGCGTGATTTTCGCGAACTATTCCACATCTTTTACGCATGAAGATTTACGCGTTAATGCGCAATTATTTTACTTAATTTGCGCAAAAACCAAATTTTCAAATATTTTTAAGCAAATTGACCAAAATTGAGAGTTTTTGTCAAGTTTCAGCACAAAATCAAACAACTGAAGGTTTATTAAAAAATTAACATAAAAACAAAATCATGATTATTCTACTCTGAAATCTAAATTGGTTACTTTCAGTGACAAAAACTTGATTGACAATAATTAGTAAAATAGGAATTAGAAAATTGAAATCAGAAAATCGAAATCAGAAAATAGAAATTAGAAAATAGAAATTAGAAAATAGGAATTAGAAAATTGAAATCAGAAAATCAAAATCAGAAAATAGAAATTAGAAAATAGAAATTAGTAAAATAGAAATTAGAAAATCATAATTAGAAAATCGAAATTAGAAAATCGAAATTAGAAAATGGAAATTAGAAAATAGAAATTAGAAAATAGAAATTAGAAAATAGAAATTAGAAAATCGAAATTAGAAAATCGAAATCAGAAAATAGAAATTAGAAAATAGAAATTAGAAAATAGAAATTAGAAATTAGAAAATCGAAATTAGAAAATCGAAATCAGAAAATAGAAATTAGAAATTAGTAAAATAGAAATTAGAAAATCGAAATTAGAAAATCGAAATTAGAAAATAGAAATTAAGAAATAGAAATTAGGAAATAGAAATTAGAAAATAGAAATTAGAAAATGCACGTCTTGATTTGCAGTGTGCTATCATGCATCAGGTTGCAAAGTAGAGTTTTAGGCAAGTAATCAGTTAACCCTGTTTGAGCATTGCAATTATATACCAAAAAGTGCAATCTCGTAATAACTGATGTATATAGTTTATACCTTTAATCAACCTTTCAATGAGAACATGTTCCGCAAAATTGCGCAAAACAGAATAACGCAAAAGCGGAATAGCGCAATTTTGCGCGAAATGAAGTTTGTGAATTATTGTGCAAAATGATATTCTTTTGCGTAAATGTAGCGCAACGAAAGCAAAAGGTTTTGCTTTCTTTCGCAAAAATTGCGCAAAGTTTTGCGAATGGAAACCCTAGTCGACTCTACACTTGGTAGACCAGACTGGTCAGTAAGACTGAATACATAAAAACGATAAACTTTTAGAGTGGGGTGTTTAATCTGCAGAAGTTAACAAAATCGTTTATTGCGAAATCGCTGATCTTTAAATCATGCTCCAGAGTTCATATGTTTTAGTTTTTTGAAAGTAATTTAAATTGCAAGAATGCTTAGAAAAATATCTAGTTGTCGATCTATTTTTATAAAAAAAAGATTATTTTCCAACGAAATCTATTTTATGATATCTAATCATAATTATAATGATATCATATTTTAGATTTATCTTTTTTGTGCATTTATTATATGAAAATTGCAAAAAAAAGGATTTCTCTGAAAAATTATAAATAATATATGTTGTAATAGTAGAACAGAACTTTCTTTCAACAAACAATTAAAAATGTAGGATAATATTATTTCATTAAATAATCTTTACAAAAAAACAGAATAGATACACTAATAATACTGATAATAATGATTCCCAATTCTAGACCTGGGACAAGCATATGGTGGAGAGCAAAGATTTAGGAGCTTTAAACCCAAACAACGACATCTCTTATTATGCTATCAGATGCCCTCCTCCCCTCAGGTATAAACACATAGAATTCCCGCGTCATATTGGATAATTCCAGCGCCATGTTGAATAATTCCAGTCCAGCGCCATTTATTGGACAACTCCAGCGCCATATTGGATAACTCCAGCGCCATGTTGGATAATTCCAGTCCAGCGCCATATGTTGGACAACTCTAGCGCCATGTTGGTCAATTCCAGCGCCATGTTGGTCAATTCCAGCGCCATATTGGATAATTCCAGCGCCATGTTGGATAATTCCAGCGCCATGGTGGTCAATTCCAGCGCCATGTTGGTCAATTCCAGCGCCATGTTGGTCAATTCCAGTGCCATGTTGGACTATTCTTTTTGGACAACTTTATGTGTCCATAAGAGGACTCTTAATAAATCCTAGCATAAAAATAGCACCAAGATATAAATTCCAACCAAATTCAAAGTTGATTAAGTTTTTACAAAAACTTAACTTGGATAGGAAACAAAAGCAAGAAAAAGAATTTATGGTAAGAGGGGGAGGTTATGGAATTACAAGTTTATAAAGAAAATTTATTTTTAGAAATAGAGACTTCGTTCTTCAGAGATCCTGGTTACAGACTCAGCAGGAATTTTTCATTCAAATTATATAACAAAATAATTTTCACTGGATATTAACTTAACATACTAAATTTTCAGCTGATTAAATCAAAATGGCGCCGATCATAAAAAAGAATGAAATATTATTTCCAGGAATATTTTATCATCAACCACAGCGTCTTTCATAAACAGTGTCCGAGAAGAAAGGATTATATCCGAGGAGTCTCTCATCTTACAGGTAAACTACAGTTTAATCCAGAACTTGGGAGACATCGAAATGATTTATAAAATGTCGTCTTGACAATTTTTCAATGGGTATTCTACTATTACATCTAAATTTCAGTAATTGTAAAAAAATAAATAGCCATGAAATATGCGGGAACAGTTTTAAAAGGCTTAATTTAATAATTTAATTAAAAATTAAATATCTGCAGCATTCTTTTATTAGAAAACGACATTTTTTAAATTCTTTTGATGCCTCCAAATTTCTGGGTTAAACTGTACAAAATTTATAGACTTTTCGCATAGAACATTTAAAGAAAATATTTTACCGTAATTTAGTTTTTGTTTTGCTTCCTTGGGAAAAGGAAGGCCATATATATCCGATTTTTTTTTTCATTTGTACAAAAATTATTGTACAAGGTTTTAACCAGATTTTCGGAATATTTCTTCATCGTTTGTAAATTGTATTGTTTGATCTTGACCGTCCTCAAAATCTCAAAAAATTAAAAATTGCAACTAAAATACAATACTTCAGAGACAACGGTACTCACTTTATTCATCTTTTTGCTAACATCAAATGGATCATCTAATTTTTTTCAACTAATAATATATTTGTTTTTCACCCTCTCAGTGGATTCGATTATTTATTGGAAAACTTGTTGTGGTTTTAGACAATGTTATTTATAAGGCTTAAGAATAAGAAAAAGTAATGGTTTTAAAACGTACTCAAAGTATTTTGCGGATTTCTTCTTTATCTTTCCTGAAAAATCTAATCAATTTTTCATTTCTGAACAAAATCCGTACAATAGGTTTAAATGAGATTAAATGAAAAAAAATGCAACATTTCTATGAAAAGGTTGGTAAAAAAGAAGAAGTCCTGATAAAATTATTAGATTAATAGCGAATCATTGTTGAACCGCATAAACATAGATCAACCGATTCTCTTCAACTTAAACAGGTTTGATCAACAACGTTCGCATGGTTCAGCTAGTTCTCGTCATTCATTAAATTTGGTCTCTGAATACACATGAAATTATTAACTGCGTTTTACAAAAGAATTTTTAACGTATCGAAGGAATTGTAAACTAAATTTCAAATGACCCTCCATGCAAATATTTACTAAACTATACCCTTGAACCTTTATCTGATCAATAATGTAGAAGATATTGTTGTTTTTCTAACTCAAAAAGTTAGATGATATAGTTTCGAAATTTATTATAAGCAAGAATGCGCAAGTCACGTTCGCATAGAAACTGCAAATGAAAATGATCATTTTAGAGAATCAAAAACTGGATATTTAATTTATTCTTGATCAATAAAAGGTTTTAATGGCACTGTTGTATATCGCCATCGGGTATTGCCATCTTTGCTTGGAAGGTCACTTGAAATTACTGTCCCTTTAGAATCTCAGTATCAAAATAATTTTATAAACAGTTTACAAATTACAATTAGAGGAGTTTGTATTTAGATATTATAAATTGAGAACATTCAACATTTTTTTAGGTTTTCTTATAACTCCCATGGGAAAGGGGTGTAAACTAGGTAAGAACATAATATTATCTTTCATTGTCAATTTGTATAATTCGTTAAAAAAGTTTGTTGTAGAATGAAAAGAAACCCCTGCCATTCTTGATCTTATTAATTTTTGGACTTAAACATGTATTGTATAAATCATTGCATCATTTAAATTCCAACAAAGAAAGAGAACACTTTTTAAACTTTTTGTCTCTTTTTTATGCTTGGTTCAAGAAAATAGAAATAGAATCAAGAAATAACAAATAACGGCTTCATTGAGTTCCACTGGTCGACATTTTAAATTGGTTTTTCAAAATCATTTACTTTATTGTAATTTCCTAACCCTGGCTCGCCTAAAAACAAAATGTTGACTTGCACAGCTGATCTCGATGCAATTGCGTCTTACACATCGGATCATATTCAATATGGCGTCTTAGACAGCATATAACATTCAATATTGTGTCCGACACAGCTGATTATTATAAATATGTCGTCCACTCAAGTTGATATCATTAACTATGATGTCGTACACAGAAGATTATATTTAATGTGGCGTCCTTAAGAACTAATTTTATTCGATATGTTGTACTACACAGCACAGCTATTGATATTCAATATAGAGTCTTTATAATCGCCAATTTAGTTTAAAAACATGTAGAATGTAGATAACCGAAGTTGTGTGGAAAATTCCTGTCAAGATTATTATATATAATCAATTACAAATTATAGGATATATCCTATCATTATAGACCTGATATTAAGCCATAATATTATCTTTATAAACTTTATTTTTGTTGCTGCAATGTAAGAGGGGGAGCTCGGAAGAAAAGGCTTTTTTGGACAAAAAATTTGATCGCATTAGAATCTATCACTATGAACTAAAATATTCACATTCGAACGACATTTTTCAGGATTTTGCCAACTTCTCTTTGTAGCATTGAAATTTTCTTAGCCAAGGCTACATAAAAGTCCGAATTTAAGCTATAACGTTTTTTAAGATTTCTCTACAATACAATTTTTTATTATTCACTGTTTTTTTTCTTACGCTCTAAACTATACTTTGAGAATCCAATATTTTGTTTGAAAAAAGTGTTTAGACATTTTTAAAGGGTTTTCTTAGATTACCTGACATAAATGAAAAATGTTTCAAACACGTTTTTTAAGTCAAGAAGATAATGTTTTTATGTAAAAAACGTAAATTTTTTTTGCTCTGAAATTGTTAAATATAATTCTAGATGATAAAGAGACTGGAGAAAGCAGCTGAAAACTACCGGAGCTGGAAGCAGTTTAACCGTCCTGGTTTCAAACCCTGGTTGTACCCGGAGCAACTAGAGAATAGGATATCCATCCAGGACTGTATCAGGTATACATGGTGTTCCAGTAAACAGGACTGTATGAGATATACAGGGTGTCTCAGTAAACAGGACTGTATCAGATACAGGTTGTCTCAGTAGACAGGAATGTATTAGGTACACAGGGTTTCCCAGTAAACAGGACTGTATCAGGTATACAGGGTTTCCCAGTAAACAGGTCTGTATCAGGTATACAGGGTTTCCTAGTAAACAGGACTGTATCAGGTATACAGGGTTTCCTTCAGTAGACATAACTGTATCAGGTATACAGGGTGTCCCAGTAAACAGGACTGTATATAAGGTATGCATGGGTGTCGCAGTAAACAGGACTGTATCAGATATGAGGTGTCCTTGTAAACAGGACTTTATCAGTTACAGAGTGTCCCAGTAAACAGGACTGTATGAGGTATTCAGGATGTTCCAGTAAACATGGACTGTATATAAGGTATGCAAGGTGTTCCAGTAAAAAGGACTGTATCAGGTACACAAGGTGTTCCTGTAAACAGGACTATATCAGGTATCCCAATAAACCTAAAACTGTAACAGGTACAGGGTGTCCCAGTAAACAAGTACTGTGTAAGATACAGGGTGTCCCCCAAAACATAAATTTATAAATCATTTTTATTTCAATTTCCATATTTTGATCACGATTTCAATTACGGCTTACGAACTCTAAACCAAATTACTAAGTATTGAAGACATGGACCGTATGGGTGTAAAGATTTTGCTTAGAATTGTGTTTTGTAATTTTGATTAAATTCCAAATTTTGAATCATTATCAAAAACATTTTTTAATTGAACAGTAAAGTTACTAGACATGTTTTCCCTTTTCCTTTCTCCACTTTACATAGACATCAAAACTTGACTAGATTTAACATCTCCCAGATCGTAAAGAGGAACAGTTAGCATAATTTTAAGTAATCCTCCACAGTTTTTCCGATTTTCAACGTTCCCCAATTAAAAACTTAAAAAATAAATAGTTTAAAAAACAACATTATGAATATCTAATTAATAAATGATCAGACCAGGCTTTAGAGGATTACGTTGAAAATTGGAAATTGACATTTTGGATGAAGGATCACTGAAAATTACGCGTACAGTCCCTTAAAGATTAACAGGAAAAGTACAAAATTGTATTTTTGTATGTTTAGGGATGAAGGAGATGAGGTTTCAACCCCTGAGGATGAAAGTCAGCTGATGGAAGACGATCTTCAACTTCAAGTTCAAGACTAATCAATCAATCAATCATTAATTCATTCCTTTGCGGATTTTCGTCCACCAACTATCTGTATACTGTCTGAACTGAGAAATCATCGTATCTGACTTAAATAAATCTATGGAATAGGAAGACGACATTAAAGCAATTCTGAAGTTTATTTGATGTTGTTACAAAGCAAATATTTTTATATTATCTTAAAATCTTCATGACAAAAACAATCTCAAGAACTGACGATGGTCAAACCAGACCGAAATATATTTTCAATAAAATGTGGAACTAAAATTAGCTTTTTTTCTCTACAGAGATTTGGTCCATCGCAATCACCGATTTTTAAATATTATTTTTAAATAGGTAAAATTGATCTGTTTACACTGAACAATCGCTCTGTCTCATGTTCATTCGACTATTTATTAAGTCATAACTTGAGTATAAAAGTCGTCTTCCTATTCCAGAGTTTTCTGATTCTCACTGTTCTTGGTGACTCGAACTTCTCGAAGTTCCTATCTGTTTGCCAGTGTATTGTCAATCAATTAAAGTAAACAGTAATTAGAAAATGGCTTGAAATCAGTCAAACTTGTAACCTTCCCTGTGGTCACGTGATGTCCCACAAAAAATTTGGGCCCAATCGGTTCAGCCGTTTTGACGTTTATTGGATACAAACAGACAAACAAACAAACAAACAGACAGACAAGCCAAATTTATAAATAGATTCCATGCATTCTGACTAAATCTATATATACAAATACTATACTGCCCGTGCCCGTGGAACTTCTAAACACTTCTAAAAAAAAATATTTCAACATTTTTTGGCCTAATGCTTTGTCCCCCATGGGTTTTCTGTTAGAAATTTTTCCAATTCGGTCCATCCGTTTGACCCGCTATTGCATAACATATATTATATATATGATTTATACGCGGAGAGCTTTATAACTATATTATATATATGTATCTTTACAATTATGTATAATTTTATCAATTATAAAGATAATTATGTATTTCAATTCACAAGATTGTTAAATTTACATTATTTATGTTACTATTATACATTTAGTAAATTATTAGATTTTAAAGCTTATCAAATTGAAAAGCTTATTAAATTGAATAGCTTATTAAATTAAATAGCTCATTAATTTGAATAGCTTATTAAATTGAATAGCTTATTAAATTGAATAGCTTTTATTAAATTGAATAGCTTATTAAATTGAATAGCTTATTAAATTGAAAAGCTTATTAAATTAAATAGATTATTATATTAAATAGTTTATCAAATTGAATAGCTTATTAAATAGAATAGCTTATTACATTGAATGGCTTATTAAATTGAATAGATTATTAAATTGAAAAGCTTATCAAATTGAATATCTTATTAAATAGAATAGCTTATTACATTGAATAGCTTATTAAATTGAATAGCTTATTAAATTGAAAAGCTTATTAAATTAAATAGCTTATTAGATTAAATAGCTTATCAAATTCAATAGCTCATTAAATTGAATAGCTTATTAAATTGAATAGCTTTTGTTAAATTGAATAGCTTATTAAATTGAATTGCTTATTAAATTAAATAGCTTATTAAATTAAATAGCTTATTAAATTAAATAGCATAAATTAAATAGCTAATCAAATTGAATAGCTTATTAAATTGAATAGCTTATAAATTGAATAGCTTATTAAATTGAATGGCTTATTAAATTGAATAGCTTATTAAATTGAATAGCTTATTAAATTGAATAGCTTATTAAATTGAATAGATTATTAAATTAAATAGCTTATTAAATTGAATAGCTTATCAAATCGAATAACATATTAAATAAAAGTGCATTTTGAGTGTAAGAATAAAATTTCCACATGCAAATTAATTCTTATAAAAAAGAATGTTTTTAGCTTATTAAATTAAATAGCTTATTAAATTAAATATCTTATTAAATTAAATAGCTTATCAAATTGAATAGCTTATTAAATTGAATAGCTTATTAAATTGAATAGCTTATTAAATTGAATGGCTTATTAAATTGAATAGCTTATTAAATTTAATAGCTTATTAAGTTGAATAGCTTATTAAATTGAATAGATTATTAAATTAAATAGCTTATTAAATTGAATTGCTTATTAAATCGAATAACACATTAAATAAAAGTGCATTTTGAGTGTAAGAATAAAATTTCCACATGCAAATCAATTCTTGTAAAAAAGAATGTTTTTTCGGGCGTTTTATTAGGCCGTACTCGTTGCTGAGTTCTCTTTAACCTTTTTACTGTGCGTTTTGAACTTTAGCTTTTTGTTGTAAGTTTTGTAAATTTATAAATTCATGTATTCCAAACTCAGGGAATAAATTATCATTAAAAGATGATTTGTTTTAGAGTATCTAATTTTTTAAGATTTAGGACTTGATCTAAGGAAAGTAATGTATAGAAACACAAATAATGATGTTAGGTACTTCCCCAAAGGCTTTTCCCAAATGTGCAATGGCCCAAGCGGCAACTTCCCAAGTATGTCCTAGCCGAAGCGCTCGGCCCCCCTAGCCTGTTCTATCCTCAGCACTCGGCCCTCTAGCATGTAGTAGCCGCAGAGCTTAGTCCCCTATCCCATCCTGTTGCAGCGATCGGCCCATACGGCCATTGCAGTCTCCGGCGCCTCAGAAGGCCTAACCAACCCTTTGGTAAGCTGTCGCTTGGGAAATTGCACATTTGGGAAGTGCAACTTGGGATATTGTCATTGGGGAAGTCGCTCCGGGGAAAATGCCACCGGGAAAGTACCTAACACCCAAATAACGACTTTCAACTCTTAAATTTTGTCAATCTGAAGCTTTAAATTGTATTTTTTGGCCTTGAATATATGTCTTTTATAAAAATAATAAATGATTTATCAAAGAAAGCAAAAATATAGAAGGCTAAATAGATTCTGAACAGTCGTCTCTGAAGTCTTATCCTTTTGTGGGTAATTCTGTATATAAATAATAGAAATTTAGGACTGCTTTAAGTGTTCCTCATCTATATAGGAATTATAAGAAATACACATATTTCTTTACGTCATGAGTTTAACCTAGTCTATTTGTACTGCAATGCAAGGCGAAAATACATAAAAACAAACAAACAAAATATTTAAAAATCAATGATAAAAACACTTGTAATCAGAAATAAATACAATCTCACTTTTATAAACAAAACATATATTTATCAACCTAAATACAGGAAAACTAAAACACGTAACAAAACTATTTATTTTTGCAGAGCTCAGAGCAATTGAAAAAAGCAATAAAGAACAATTTTATCTAAAATTTCGGGAAATTTCCATCCAATAATAAAAAATATTTTTTTTGGAGGGGGGGGGGGGTGGACAAAGAAAAAAAAAACAAAGAACCCTAGACCGGGAACCTATTAAAGGCAGTGTAGGGCCGTTCCTGGAACTTTGTTTTTTCCTGCTGTTCCGTTTCCGGAAACCATTCCGTTAACATGTCCGAGGATACATCAGTAAACAGGATATCCCAGCTCCACGTCTCATCCACCTCCTGGATACAGGATATCTATATTGTTATACATGGATACACAGATACCAGGATGCTAGGCTACTAGCGAATGTAGATTTTTAAAAAACATTTTTTTAAATACTAAAATAAAAATCCTGCAAGAAACACTGTACTGCATGGAACTTAAAGATTTACAAGAGAATACAATTATTCTGAGACGAAAATACTGATAACTCTGTGTATCTTACATCCTCTCTGTATTCTGAAATACTGATATGCGTAGTGTATTCCGAGAAAAGTACTGTATTTCTTACATCCTCTGTGTCCTCCTGAGTCAAATATTTCTGATATCTCATTTATCCTACACCCTCTGTGTAGTGTGTATTTTGCCTTTTGAGACGATTATTACTAATATCTCTGTGTATCTTTATCCTCTGTGTATTCTGAAATATTACTACTGATATCTCTGTGATTATACATCCTATATGAATTCTGAAATATTACTACTCATATCTCTGTGATCTTATATCCTCTCTGTATTCTGAAATATTACTACTAATATCTCTGTGATCATATTATCCTGTATAAATTCTGAAATATTACTATTGATATCTCTGTGATTATACATTCTCTATGAATTCTGAAATATTACTACTGATATCTCTGTGATCTTACATCCTCTCTGTATTATGAAATATGACTACTGATATCTCTGCGTATCATAAATCCTCTATGTCTTCTGAAATATTACTACTGATATCTTTGTGATATCTGTATTCTGAAATATTACTACTGCTATCTCTACGTATCATACATACTCTCTGTATTCTGAAATATTTCTACTGATTTCTCTGTGATCGTTCATCCTCAATGTATTCTGAAATATAACTACAATTATATCTCTGTGATCATACATCCTCTGTGTATTCTGAAATATTACTACTGATATCTCTGTGATTATATATCCTCTCTGTACTAACCTATCCCCCGGGGGCAATTAGAATTCTGATTGATCTAATTCAATAAATATATAATATAATAAGTGCTCGGCGTTGCCGTTGGAAAAAAATTTTTTAAAAAAATTTGAAAAAATAAAATGAAAAAATTTCGAATTTTTTTATCCTACAACACCCCCGGTCACCCATGATTGTCCACAAAAAATTTCAGTCCAATCGGTCCAGCCGTTTGGCCTGCAATTCGCAACATTTATATGAATGTATTGTTTTATTATATAGATAAGTTATAAGATCTATAAATGTTTATATCTATATTGAGAGGAAACCCAGATATAATAAAAAAAGATTTACAGTGGTAACCATAAACAGTGGAATAAATGTCGTCTTCATCTTTTTCTACAAACTAAAATATACTTTAGCAAATTTTCATCATTTAATGAAAAAACGAAGACGAGTGTCATTAAATATTTTTTGTTACTTCTGTTTAAAAATGAAATTTTTACCCATTTTCAAAATGTAATTTTTTCTCTACAAAAAAGCTTAAAAACAGCATTGAAAACCTTTACTTGCTTTGGCAAGCATTAGATAAAAAAAAATATTTGTAGTACTTGAATTTGAATTTGAATAACAAATTTCCATTTTGAAAAAAAATCGATTTTTTAAAGCCTATGTTACCCCCGGGATACCCATAGCCCATGGGTTCCCTCAAAAATATATAAACATACAAATATATATATACGAGCTAGCTGACAATGTCATGCATTATTTATTGTTTACCTTGACGGCATGCTCTGGAGCCATGCATCTTGTCAGGATTCTCAGATCAATATCGTCAAGAGTAGCAAAGGCAGCATGCTTGAATAAGTCGGTGTCTAACTCCTAAAATTACACTGTAAAAGATGGATTTGAAAAAAAGCAAAAATAGGACTTAATCGTATTTCGTAACTTTCTAATGTCTACATTTTTGCAACCTGATGATGTAAACTTAGATTATTTGATTTAACAGAATTCAGAGTTTGTGACAAAGGATCAATTATTTACATTGACAATCATTTCCGAAATTTTAGTATAAAAAGAGAGTCAAATCATTCAATACTTGCAATTAGTATTTGATAATGCCTATAATTTTTCCGGATCCGAGAAGCTAAAATATTGCGGAGATCTATCGGATCCGGATCTAGGCTCTATTATTAAAAAACCAAGATACACTTGATGACATCAATATATAGTTCAGAGCCTTAAATGAGAGTATCTCTGAGAAAGGTTAAAAATAGCCCGGTTAATTCACTATTTTATTCATGATTAATTTAAAATAAAATTGGAAAAATTCCAATAAGATCTAGTTTTGTCAAAATCATATTTTATTTGAATTTTTAATTCATAGTCAAAATCAAACAAGGAGCAGAAAAGAAAATTTTAAGAAATTAAGATTTATAAATAGATTTTTTCATTATTGAAGCAAGACAGTTTTATATCTAATTTGAAACATAGAAAAGATTATTAAAATTAAATATTCTTTCAATCAAACTTATGTATACTATCATTCATAAGTAGTAAAAATCAAAACAACCTATTTTATTTGTATTGAAAGTATTATTCTCTGTTTATTTGTTAAATGTTCAATCAGAACTCAGGAATCCTTGTCCGACCAATGGCCTGCATGGCCTTCAATTTTGATTTGGGATCTCAGTAAACCCACGGGAATGTTCTTAGCCTAGTCTAACCTGGGGGGTTGGGGGTTTAATGGGGCGTAAGGGCCATCATAAATTAACAACAACACGGACAGAACACTAGATGTCGTCTTTTCAAGATTTAGGGGTTTTCGTTCACAATAACCCTGAGGCAGAATCCAAAAGAAGTTACGCGTAATGCGAATGCTGCCTTTAAAGTTAATAAGGTTGACTCTAATTTCAAGGCAAAGCTTGGTTCCCAACCTAGTATAATATTAAGTAGTAATCTCTGTTTGCTTGTTTGGATGTCCGATCATAACTCAGGAACCCTTGACTGATTTTTTATTGTGGGGATCTCGCTGAAACTAAGGGAATGTTCTTTTAAGTTCTTGATAAGGTTGATTTGATCTTCCAGGCAAAGCTAGGTTCCCAGGCTAGTATAATAAAGTAGTTGTATCGGTTTGTCTGTTTGTATGTTCGATCATAACTCACAAACCCCTTGACTAATGTCCCTCAAATTTAATCGGGAAGCTCGATAGAACAACGAAAATGTGCTTCAACAGTTTAGATCTCCAGGCACAGTTTGGTTCCCGAGCTTATTTAAAATTGCAATTGAACGAACATTTTTAAGAAGTATCTTTATTTTTTAAAAACAAAACGTAGAAAATAAATACAATTTATGACAAACGAAGCAGTTTATAATTGATGAATTCAAGAGAAAATTATAAATTACTTTTGAAAGATCATTTCAATAATCGCCAGAAATTTTACTTAAAGGGACTGTAAAGGAAAAATGAAAGTTATATCTGATGTTCCTGTCTAGAGAAATTGATATAAAACTGTGTAAAATTTATACGAAAATCCATATATATATACAATTTTGTATAGAAATAGTAGGTTTAAAAAGATCATATTCACTAACTACGCAACCAATCTGAAAACGAAGATATCCCAGAGAAACCTAATTGTAACATAGATTTTCTTCAATTATTATTTTATAATTCTTTTTTTTTATTTTTAATAGATATGATTGATAATATTATTTAAAAGTCAGTATTACGTCACAAGAACTCCCACCAATGAGAGTGCAGTATACTGGTCACACTCAGATGTCTCTGTCTGTATCACATAACCAGTACACTGCACTCTGATTGGTTGGAGTTCTTGTGACGTAATGAAAATGAATAAAAAACCTTGAATCTTGAAAAGACAACATTTAGTGTTCTATCTGTGTTGTTATTAATCTATGAGGGCCACCTATATTTATTCTGAATATATTTACTTTGTAGGTCGCTACTCTGTTGACTGCAACACTGGGAGCTTCAGCTACCTGTAATAAATCAATTAATCAATTATTCAATTAATTAATCAATCAATCAATTAATCAATTATTCAATTAATTAACATCCCTGAGTTAATAATTAGGGTATTATTAACTAATGAGTTAATAATTAGGGTATTATTAGCTAATGAGTTAATAATTAGGGTATTATTAACTAATGAGTTAATAATTAGGGTATTATTAACTAATGAAACAACAAATTATTTAATCTTAAAATATAAAAAATACAGTTGTGTGTATTTTCCCATTTTTTGATACTTTCAACCCAAATAATAAATAATTTTCGAAATTTTAGCAAAAAAACTTTATAATTAATTGAATACATTTTCAAGGAATAAATACCTTTGAAAAAATTAATATCTTTAAAAAATCAGAATCAGAATCTTTCACTGAATATCTATTGTAGATTTTATTTGTTGACAAATGATATTATTTACATTTTCTTCCTACCTGAGTAGCTAAATCTTCTTGCTCGACTTCCTAAACCAAACAAAACCAAATATATTTCAAGAAAAACGTGGGAATCAAGATTTCAAATGAATTTAAATCTAAATAAACAGGATTATCATTGTCACCAAAAAATGTTTGAACCCATTTTAAAGATAGTTTTTGATCTACACAGCATTTATTAAAAATCTTATCTTATTCTTATCTTATTAGAATAGAAAAACAAATATCTCCAGACTATATAATTTTTATAAATCTTTATTCTTTAATAGTCTTATGTTCTCCCATCTCCATAATATGGTCTGCCTTTCTTGTGCTTTTAAAATCACAGAAGATATGAAAGATTTCATTCAAAATTATAAAACTTTCATTTTATTAAATAAAACGAAATCTTACCATAAATCTCTAGTACTTTTTTAAGGCACCAAAAAGGCAAGACTCAAATTATCTTGTGATTATCGTTTCATCAATCATATTTGTATTGTAAATGAATTTCAATTAGATCAAAGACCACTGTAAAGTCATTTTCAAAATTTGTGATGATGACAGTATTTTATGCAGAAAAGAAATTAAAGTTCATTTCTAAATGGTTTTGTTCCTCAAGATCTGGAATTATTGGAACATCATCATTATCATCATCACTAAACCCAGCAGCACCTTCATTCTGGGGAGCCTTGGCAGATTTGGCCCTGAAAGGGGTTGTTCAGATATTTGAATAAAGTTGGAGCTGCAATTTATTAAATTGAAGAAGAACAAGTTAAAAAATAAATCCAAAAATTAAATTTGAAACCATGTTATAAATAGATAAATAAAGAATATGATTACTCCCAACAATATATTTTTGCAACCTGATGGTGAAAATCGTTTTATTTCTAACTTGGCTTTCTTTTTCTCACAGGAATTTAAAGTTTGAATTATCAAAAGACTACAACGGCAGGTTTTAAAGATATGCGATAATAAATTTTGAACAATTGTGATGAGTAATCAGTTCCTCTCCAAGCTGTTCACCTTGATGTCTCATCCGCCCATCCTCCCGGTCTTCTAGGGGGAGCAGTTCCTCTAGGAGTAATAATTAATAATAAATATTCGTCTTTAAGTAAATTTTTTTATTTTCCGGAAAAGAAAATGTACACCTTTTTATCGTATTTATGGATGAAATTGTGCGATTTTAGTTATTTTACAAACTTTCCCAAGGGACGTAAAGTAACTTAACCTCCCATAGGTCGGTATACAGGTAATACAAGATCCCAAGCTTAAAGGGACGATAGGCGTAATTCTGATTGGCTCTTAATTTAAAGAGAAACATTCAATTCTCAACTATATAGCCGTTAAACCTTTCACCTGATCAAGAATGAATCAAGCTTTTTTTTCTAATTCAGACTTTTCTTTATTATTATTAAAACAAATTTAGTTTGAATTTTAGTTTCTAATCTCTTTTATAAAATTCCTTTGTTATCTTTTCATTAAAACTTTTCAAGTTAAAAAGTCTTTGTTCTTCACTTTTCAATCGAAGAGTGTCACAAATGATTCATAACACTAAGTTTGAGATATTTAAGTTTTTCTCTAAGAAAATATCAACGAAGGCCAGGTAGTGAAGCTATATAAAGTATACTAGATTTTTAGTAAATATAGTAAAACAAACATTCAAAAGTTTCGCGGATTTTATAAAAAAAAATTTCGTGTATTTTCTAAATTTTCAAAAATCGAATTTTGTTAGGAGGCAAATTAAAAAATTCGATCATTTATAAATCTTCCCTGGGGTCATGCGAGATCCCACAAAAACTGTTTATTGGATACAAGCAAAGAATATATATATATGGTGATGAAAAGCGCTTTTTTACCTATAAAATAAAATATTCACATATTTAAATCTAACAATATATTTCCAAATAGTAAACTCCGAGTTATTTGCAATACAATATATTTATATACGTTAGACCTGACAGACTAAAGAAGACGAAACAGGACAGTAGACCTAAAGCTGAGAAAAGGTGCTGTGTATATATCCAGGTCCAGTGTAAATGGTTCTGTATAGATAATTCTTTATATGGACACTCTTTAATTAAAGGGCAGCATAGATGTCGTTCACATTCCCTTTCACTTACCTTGGTCTGGTAGGGGGAGCATTATCCAGGTTTAGAATACCAGTAACAGGTCTAAAATAAGGATTTTCATGTTTCGTAGTTTTTTTGTACTTATAGAACCAATTAAAAGCTTTCATTAGAGGGGTCTAACTTTGAAGATATAAAAAATTTTGAGAGAAAAAAGATGACACCC